GGAAAGAGTAGCTGAAACCTCCCATGTTGGGTCCACGTGAGTAGTCTGGATCAAGAACAGAGGCCTGCAAGTAGGCAACAGACCTGTGGGAACAGCTGACTTAAGCACAACAAGCTGTGTTTGCATGGTTTTCTACTTTTCATGACCATCTCCCTGCAGTGCCAAGAGCAGTCATCCTGTCAGGACAGGAGCCAGCCAGAATCTTTGATACTACGTATTGCAACATGTAGGGCTGGCAGAATTCTTGAACTGATTTAGGCTAGTAAAGGAGAAGGTCTCATTTCTCAGTGATGGTGAAAGCAGGTCCTAAGGACTTGCTGCCTTGCTAAAGCAAGCAGACCACCCCCCATTTCACCTTGAACTAAACCCCTTAAGTGCCATAGAATGATCTAAAGGCAGCTTCTAACCTGCCTGAATGTGGAATATTCAAGTCCTGAGTCCCTACTGGGTTTGTAGCATTCCAAGAGATTTTCTCATAGAGGCAAACTGAAACTGGCTTCTGGCATGTTGCTGTGCCTCAGTGTTGGGAGTAATGGTAAGTGCTGTGAAAGGACTAGCACTTTTTTGGAGCAGGGACTGTTGGAATCTCCAAAGGCTGCAAGAGCCACCTTTGGAAAGTGTTTCTTCCCTAGGCCCTGTTCCTTTCCATGACAGTGGAAGTACTGAGAGGTAGTGTCTTCAGGTTGAATGTAACTCACTCTGAGACACGTGGTTTGCGACTCCATGCAAGTTGGATTTGCATGAGAAGTTTGCACTAAATGTCAAAGACAAGCTGGTATGAGCGAAGACAGTGGAGTGGTTTGTAATAACAGATAGTGTGCATGCTTAGTAAATCATATTCTCATGTATACAACTTGTACATGAGAGAGAGAAACATGAGTGAAAAGATTCTGAGAACTGCTGAGATTCAAAAAAACCCCACAATTTTTTAAGAAATACCAGTATCCTGGTTTAATATTTTAAGGCCATTAACATGTTAGTTGAAGTTTGTAGAGGTGGCCATATTGTAACATGGAACTGACTTTCCTATGGGGTCTGACTTGTTCTTACACTGAACTTTTCAAATGCAAAATGCTGTGCTAATGACATCTTAAGCTAATTCTTCAGGTGTAGCTTGAGTTCTTTTGCTAACATACAACCAACGACCTTTAGTTCAACGATTTTTTACTTATTTTTTTAAATACTGCATTGCTTGCTTTCTCCCCTCCTTTATTTAAATGTCTCTAGTATAGAATATGGAATGTTGTAAATCAGAATTTACATTCTCACTGGTCAAATTACTGTGTGATGCCACAACTGCTTCAAGTGAGTTTAGATTCTTCAGTGTCTGCTACTCTAAATCACAATAGAAACCATTGATAACACTGAAAGGCTTTTCTGTTTTCCAAAATCAGTTCTGTGTGGGAGGAAGGAAAACAAGTTGTTTTTCTAACATTAGAATTAGTTTAAAAGATTATTGAAATGTGATTTGTGCAGTATACTTTGTTTAAACAGTACAATTCTCTTGTTGACTAGTATTGAAGCTTATTTTTCTGAAACATATATTTATGTCTGCGTTACATGGTATGAGTGGTTGTAAATTTTAATAATAGATTTATTCTTCCCCTATGATCTCTTCTACAACCATCCATGAAAAACTTGTGAAGTGTGTTAGCGTTAAGTTTAACTACTAAAGCTTGATAATATATTGGATATATGAATACCTTAAATTTAATTATCTCTAGATTATTTTCACTTACTTGGTATCTTAAAAGTGCATCCTTTTTTTGGGGGGGTGGGAGGGAGGTGGACTAGTCAGATCTGTTGCAGATACTCATTCTAATATGAGGACCATGCTGATATTTTTTTCTTTTATTAGGAGCAATACACTAATTCTGGTGAGTCCTAATCCATCACTTGCCACAAAGCCTTCATTAATTCCTTGGAGTGGCCTAGTCTATATCCATTGTGATAATGGACAAAAGGTAGGTGGCTTACTTGAGAGTTGAGACTGCAGCTGTTCATTTTACTTTGCTGTTTAAGGTCTAGTAACATTGCTGAAACCTTCTAGGTGTGAGACAGCCGTTCTGTCAGCTTTCATTATTCTCTCTACTTTGTAAAGTTCTCTTTAAAAAATAATAAACATAGTTAGGATGCTGTTTTGTAAACTGAGATTCTTAGTTCATTCATCTCTGAAGAATACTAGGATGGGAACACTTAGACTGAATTGGCAACAGAAGGGCATCTGTACACCCACCACTGACTTATGCATAATTTGCTAGAAATGTTAAAAATATACTTATATATGTATACATGTGTATATATAAAGGTATTCTATATAGTATTTTAAAATAAAGCAGATTATTGGACAAATTACTGTAGCTCCTTTTGAGTTCCCTTAAGGTAAACTTAAGCTTCTGGCTTACATGTCTTGATAAAGAATGTCTAGAACAGGTTCTTGTTCTTCAAGTATTTTAATCCAAGACTTTTTCTTGATTAAATTAAGGCGCATGAATAAAATTTATGAAGCAGCAGTTTCTCTTTCATCAATAAGCAAAAAGATCCCTTGGTAATCTCCCCCAAAGAAACAGACATCCGGTTTTTATTTTTACAGCCAGTATGTCTTTTGAGTTAATTGTAACAATGCATGGAGGCAGAAATAAAAGACGCTGAAAGGATTAAAAACTATGTATCTACTTTCCTTCTTGATGGTGGAAAGTGAGGTATGATACAGAGTTTGAAACTGCCTTAAAAAACCCCATGCAAGCAGGGAAGTTGTTGAAGAGAGTGAGTTAAGAAGGAAGTGGAGACTCTGCACATATTTAACTATGTTATGCTCTATATTATGAGAAAAGGACTTAAGAGAAGAAACCTACTATTACAACAGTAGAGAGTGTAGCAATAACAGTCAAATTGAGAGCTCTGATAGTTGATAATGCTTTGCTGTTTCTTTGCCACCTATCCAATTCAGCAAAAAGCATGCTACGATTTTACTGACATTAACTAAAGTTTTTAGAAGTGCTAATTATGTAGCAGAAATTAACACAAAGCTTGTTCTGCATGACACAGGCCTGTTCCCATTCTCTGCAAGGAGAGAATATTGTAATTGTCAATTAAATTAACTATTTTAAATTATTATTCCTATTGAATTAAAATGTCTAAGGGGAAAGTTTACTCAAAACTGGCTAAATTAAACTTGTCCTAAAATATTTAAAGTTTTTTGAAGTTAGTGAAGACTTGATGATTTAGCATATGAAACTTTCTCTGCTGGAATGTAAAGCTGAACAACATGAGCTCTTACAGCTAAATGATACAGAGCTAAGTAGTTTGACTTGTTAATATATCAGTGTTCACTATTTAAATCTTTCCTTTTCTCCAAATTGTGCAAAAGTTTGTGAAAGTGCAGATTCAAGAGGCAGTTGCACAGAGTGTGTCTGGAGCGGACTTTCCCTCTAGAAGACGTGATATATTTACTACGCAGTCTGCAAGTCCTGCAGTGCATGTGGCAAGACCTCACTCAGTGCTCCCTCTAACACAAATGGAAATAAAGAACAGAACCATTGTTTTTCCTAAAACAAGACCTGGCCAAAGCTCAGGTAATATTGCTTACTTAGTAAATGCAACATCTGTGGTATCTTGTGTTCAGAGTTTTTCTTTGCAGTGTTGCATGGTTGGGAACTTGAATGCCTTGGCTTTGTTTTTGTTCTTTTAGTCTGGTAAATGGGATTGACCAGTTCCCCTCTTCTGATTTCAGTTTGAAATGTTAGTTCATGTGATATAACTTTTATCAGAAGTGTTGAGGTTTTTTTTCTTTTATTTTTTTTTTCCCCTTCTCCTTATGCAATATAACCACACTTTCCCCCACAGATAGGTTTGCATACAAACAGGTAAGTTGCCAGTTTTTTAAAGCAGTTATGATGGATGCAACCTTTTGCCTGGGCAAAGAAGGCACTGTGAGGTTACTGTGTTTTGTTGAAGTTCTCTTGGGTCAATGCATTTTTGCAATAAACCCATTCTCCTCATCTGTGTATGTGTCCCTAAGATGTGAGATAAATCCATCTGCATGTAGTAGAGAAATAAATGTTCTTCCTTAAGATGATAAAGATATCAGCTATGGATCTGGATATCCTTGTCTTGTACTTAATGGTCGAGGAGAACACTGTTGATAATGGAGTTTGAAATCCTCAGTTTGTACTTTTAATTCCAGTAAAGCTTGAAATCCTGCAAATTACTCTGTGAAACAGTCTGTTATCTAGAAACAATTTTTTTTGGTAGTGCTTAGTTTTCTCTTCTAGATAATGAGGATTTTTTTTAATTACTCACTGATTATATATTTTTTATTTAACAGACTTTAGAACTTTCACGGCTTAATTTATCAATTAGACACTCTTTGCTACACTTATGAAAGAGGAGTAGAATATAATACTCCTTTCCTATTTTTATAAATGTCCTAAGTAATATATATACAGAAACTTCCTGAAGTGCTATTCTAGACTGAGATGATCTTACATATGTCCTGTTAAATCTTGGGAAAAGGTACACTTCAAGGCTTGAAATATGCTTATTGATGCTGTCAAAGATGGGATTTTCTGATAGTGTCAGTGAGTTGTTCCCCTTTCTGCAAGTCAAGCATAAGCTTTGTATTGAGATGTCGTGTATATATGTGTGTGTGTGTGTGTGTGTGTATACATCTGTGTGTGTATATGCTGAATAACAAATTCATAATAGGATGAAAACTGATTTTATTTGATACAACTTTATTTGATTGGTCCCAAACTAGAATGCTGTCAGTGTTTTACCCTGAACAGTCAAATTTTATCTTGGGAGGGAATTGAGTATCTTGTGGGGTTTTTTGGTATGTTTTTGTACACTGGTATGTGAAGCTATCTGCCAAAAATTTGAATGCAGTAAACTGAGACTGTTGGAGGTGACTTAGCTCTCTCTGCTATTTGTCATGTTCTGCATTTATAAGAAGCTGACTTCCTACTACCAGAAATATATTCACATAATACCACATGATATGCTTCAGGTTCTTTTAGAGTATTATCTTTGTTTTAGGGTTATTGAGGGTGAGATTTGGGTCTCACTTTGTTTCTGGTAAGCATCTTCAATAGGGTTCCTCCTGAGTAGACTTTACTTCAAAATTTTTTTTGTATAATCTTTCAAGAATTTTATTATGCTTTGTTTGAGTCTGCTCTTGGAGTTGACATCATGAGAACAGTTTGCATTAAACTTCTGTGTGTCTTGAAACATAATTTTTGTTTAAACTCTTTCCACTAATGATACTTGAACAAAGACACTTAATATACTGGTCTGATATTTCTCTTCTAGAGAGTTACCTGGAAATGGAGAATAAAGGGGATGAAAACGTGAAGTGGCATTTGTCATCTTTTGCACCACCCTATGTTAAAGTGAGTAAATGCTTGCATTGGTAGTTTTATGCAAATCTCTTGGTTTGTTTTCTTTCTTCTCTCTTCTTGCTGCTGTCTTTTTCTTCCTCCATCCATTCAAGAAAGAATACATATATTTGAGTGTTAAGTCAGTTAAAAAGTTTCTTTTCGTCTCTGTCTATATCAGTGAAATGTTTTACTCCTTTTTTTAATCTCATATGTTTTCCCTGACTGTGAATCAATCAGTGCCCCATGAGACAGTTTCTGTTTAGTTACTGGTTTATAGAGTTTGCTTGTGCTCATCCAGTATCATCATCCCAACTGCAGTAAGTAGTCAAGTACACGTGAAAGATGCGTGTCCCTTTTGGCTCCAGAGTGCTGGACTTGCCTTGTTTTGAGACTTGTGCTGCTGGAATTACGCTGTACGTGGTACCTCTGTAGGTAATTTAAGTTAGGTCAAGGATATTTGACTTACACTACCATCGCCTGTGCAATTACTCTAGCTGTACCACTGATATTTGTAAATGTTTCTCTATGTTGTTTTGATCGTCTGAAATGCTGTGACGGTCACTTTGATTTTATGCTAGAATTATCATGGTCTGTTGTCATGAAATGATGAGAAATGGTGATATAGCTCTCTTAACTGTAGCCCAGAAGACTGAGTATGCTGTGTTCCAGCCAGTGCACTGGCTCCAAACTGGAAGTCAGTAATCATGGTGACTGCATAAATATTGTAGTAGTTTTAGTCTTTAATAGTGAGTCCCTATAAGCACATGAATATTTGTTTACTTGAAAGCAGCTTGAATTGGGTGTATTGGGTTTTAAATTTTTTTCCCCCTTTCCCTTCTGAATCTGACTCAAAACTTTATTTGCAGGATGTAGATGGAACAGGTTGTGTTTATAGGGTTACCTACTCCACTTTCAGATGTTCCCGTGTGTCTGGTATTCTTGAAGCTCATGGAGAAGAGAAGGTAAACTTACACTAATATCCTTGAAATATTTATAATTGTATCTCAATTGTAAAATAGGATCTTAACATGAGAAATTCTCTGAAATAGCAGTTGAATTTTTGAAGCTGGTTATACTTTATCTGATAATGATAAAATGTTGGTCTTCCAAATAGTGTTCTGGGGTGTATCAGGTGTATCTGCTTACCACAGCTGTGCCAGTGTTAGATGAGTTGATTCTAAGAATCCATGCAGTCTGTATTTTGGCTTAGACACGGTGGTGGGTTTGTGTTGTTTTTTGTTTTTTAAAGATAAATTATTCTAGAACAGAAAATTGTTTTAAAATGTTTTGTAAAAGTCCATAGGAAAATTGCAAATCATAGTTGGTTCTTATGAAACTGGTGTGAGAATCTGTTTCCTTTCCTTAGAAACAGTCTTGTCATACTTGTTCAAGAACAGCTGTCTGTTCCTAAAGTTGGTTTCTTTTGACTTACAGTTTTATTTCCTGGCCAGTAGAGGGTTTCATAACCACAATTATAGAGCACATTGAAGGATGTACTGAATGGATATGTGAGGGGCTTTTGTCCCTCTCCTTCTCCCTTGATGCTACTTCAGTTCTATCTGTTCATCTTCATGGATTATAATGACATTCCTTAACTACATTATTTCTATGATGATGCAATTTGTAATCTGTTTACAACACACAAAAAACATACTCCTGTCCAGTTTTGTGGTTACTTTGTAATATTGAAAGCCATTATTTGAATTTAAACAATTGTCTTTGCCTTAGCCATACTGGTTCAGGCATTTTTGAATAACACTTATGTTATTGGCATGTCAGGCTGTTGGCTGGAGCTGATAAGGTACAGTGCTATCATGATTTGCTGTTTTTTGCAGTGGGTATGATAATATTTGGCTAGTTAGATATAGTTGCAGTGATCTGTTCTTATCTTTCTTCTTACCCTTCTTACCCTTCTCTTTCTTCTTCCAACCTCAACTTGGAAAACAATTCAAGTTTACTCTTGAATTAACCTGGTACAGCACTCTATGGACAGCAGCCTTTGCTCAATAGGTGACCTTTAAGGCTAATCAAATGCATAGCCTGCAAGTTGGTTTAAATTTCAGGCCTTCTAGTAGCTGTAGCACAGTGCTTGCAGACTTGGAGCTGGAGGAGCACAGTTGTTCAGTTTAGCTGACAAATGAAGGAAGGCATTGCTGGTTTTCAGCTGCGTGTATTTCCCTTCCTAGTCCTTTTCTCCCCCATTTTACTAATAGAAATAACTGTGCAAGCACTTGCTGGCTTTGCTTAAAGCAGATTAGCTAAACTCAAATTTTGTTCAAGATGCTTGCTTAACCTATTTCATCAGAACTTTATCTTTTGTGGGCAAAGGAGGATGAGCTGTATTGTTTTCTGCAAAATCACCTGTGTGGGGAATGTATGTTCTGTAGTGTGTAAATTTTGTGCTGTCTTAAGCTA